TAGATTCTTCTGCTCTTTCTCAACTCTTTGCGTGTTGGTAATGACATCAGACGTAGAAACATGATCTGGTTTAACAGAATTCAAATCCCTGGGTGTATCATTTCCAATATCTGAAGAGGTGGGACCACATTGAGGTGAAGTGTTCTCATCTACACTATCAACAGCACATTTTCTTGGTGACTTGGAATCTTCCACCACACCGTTAGCGGCAGGTTCTACACCATTTTCAGTCATGCTGCTCATGGTTTTGCAATTTGAAAGAAGATGCTTATCTTTCCCATCACCTCCTAGAGGATTATCCTTGGAATTGGATTGAACAATACCAAGCATTAGCTCCACAAACGTTGTCCAAAGCCGCATAACTTTACTAAGTTGTTCTTTGGTTGAGCAAATTTCTTCACATGAATACTGGACAAGTTTATGTATATCTTCATGAATCGTGCCGTCAGAATACTCGTATTCCAAATGTGGTACAAGGGTTTGTCTGTATCCAGCAGCAATGGCAAAAAGAACATCGTCCTCCTTTGGTTGCTTCTCTTTCAAATCCTTAATCTCAGTTAGCAAAGCTGTTATTTGCATTAAAAAACAATAAGAAACATATAATGAGTGCAGACATCGTGAACAGAAATAGCAGGACCCCAACATAGAAGACTTGTTCAGAAGCAACTGTCCATCTTTTATAACAATGGAAAATGAGACTAAAACAAATTCCTATCACTGCTGACAAAAAATTTCATGACCAAATAAGGAGGCAGGCAACGAGTATACATGGCAAAGCTGTCCAAAGACATTCAGATTACATGTTTAGATGTTAAGGATATGCAAAATTCAAGTTCACTTACATTTTGAGCTCAATGTCTTTGAATCTTGTTGCTTGAAATAGAAGCTACGGTGATCCAGTGATTTGTAATGATTTTTTGCATATATCTCAGCCCAAACCTTGTTGAAATCTTTACGGCAGAGCATCCACTCTTCTTGCTTCTGCTTTAAGCGAGTTAGTATAACAGGCAATGCAATTGCAGGATTTTTGCGCAAAATGTCCAGCACGTCTAGACCATGGTCCCCATATAGACGCTCAATGCACCTAAAATTCAGAGCTGCATAAATTTGTATTAAGGAAACTGTAGAAATAATTTGAGAGCTTGGTCGGCTGAAAGAAAGTGGAATAAGTCTTCTAAAAGTAAAGAGAAGCAACTTCAAGACATTAAAATCAAATCAGCCACCCAACACAAACCAGTAAAGTGCCCGTCGATCCGAATTGGTGACTGAAATTTATGCTGGTTGATGTCATTCACTAGTTCCTCTACACGTTTGGCAGTTGCACTAACAGACTCTAACAGCATATCCAGCTCAAACCTAGAAAATACCAAACAAAACAAACACATATTAATCCCAAAGGCAAAGCAGATATTCAAATGTAAATATCAGCAGAGATAATAGATAACAAAGAGCAATGTACCAGAAAGGAATTACCTATCATCTTCACATCTAAATAAGCTTTCTTCATACTGATTCCGACGCATATGTTTAAAAGAGTAATCTTCACTCCCCGAAGTTACAGATACCCAGTGGTCATTGAGGACTTGAGCACCAAGATCTGGTCTATGGCTTACCGCAGGTATTGGATACTGCAAGAGAAGTAAAAAGCACGTACAGTGAAAAACTAAATATAGTATCAAAACCCATGCAAGACTGGAGTCGTCAGTTTTGCACTCCATACATCGTCCGGCAGAAGCCGATAGCTAGGGGTGCAACGTTGACAATGAGAAAGATCAAGCTCTTGAATAGATGTTGACATATACTTCTCCCTGCATCTCTCCTTTTCTGGATCAAGTTGACACTTCGGCTCTTTATCTCTGTCCTCCACCTTCAATGATCTTGCTGAAAGCCCATCAACGACCAGTGATTCTGAGATCAATACACAACATAATCTTAATACCATATTAGAGACCATGGCAGCATATATTTGGCAGAATTACAAAAAGAAATCACTGAGAAACTCTTCCAGAAGTAAAAATCATTCACATACTTTTACTCATAACACCAGCAAGGAACCCATCTGCAAAATCAACAAAGAAACAGTTACCTTCACGCACAGATGAACTAAGAAAACCTACGCACAACCCCTACTTATAATAGTTTCAACACATTACCAATGTTCTCACAGCGCTGTAGGAAATCATTGAATTCCTCCATAAGGTCAGGATATCTTCCAAGTAAGTCTGTCACCTGCAGTGCAGAAAATGAGAGCTCCACATGGAATCTAATCCACAACACTCTCAAAGCTTGAATTATCTATACCATGCTACTTTGGCCGGCTAAAAGATTACTATGCACAAATAGCATAGAACCATACATGTTAACTTGAGGAGTTCAAAGAAAAGAAGTTAAATATCAAAGAATCCCACATATAGAAAAGCTACAGATCTGTACATACTACATAGGCATCCATCTTTCTCATAATTACAGTTCAATGCATTATGTATTTCGACTGAATAAACAAATTTTAATAGCTAATTTTTTCAGGTCCAGGAACAGCAAATCATACATTCACTTTAAAGCTTCAAAGGGACCAAATCATGACACAACCAGACCAAAGCAGGTGGGGAACTCCACATATTCAGATGGCTCTACAAAGACTCTACATAAGGATGCAGGGTACAAGCCTTGAGGCCCACGAGCACCTATCAAAGAATACTCTGCATAAAGATGAGTAAACGTACCAGATTTTGTAAGTCTGTCTTCTTAATAATTCCATTATTGAATATATTAAGGCACTTCAAGAACGCCTGATAATCATCGGAGCTGCCCAGCTTCTCCTTGACTTTCTCGCAGAATACAAATCCTTCATGGTACATGCCTGGATTGATGATTAGGAAAAAATAATCAAAGGAGAAGCCAAACAAATGGGTCACACTACATTCATGTCAATAAAACTAAATAAGCAACAGCTATGACATTAGTTTTAGGACTACACTAATACTTTCAATAACACTACACAAGCATATAGTGTATCAATGCAGTCGCAACAAGGAATGAACTCCCGACTTTAAACCCACAAAGTAAAAGAAATATTAGCAAATGAACCGATGCCAAGATTCAATGCTGCACAGAAATTTATAAAAATCTTCCTGGTCATGTACTATTCGGAATTTCAATTCATCCATGATATTCACATCACGGAACAAATGCACCGAAATGTGACACCACTATAACCAAATCAGTTGGCAAACAAGAACGGATTAATGGACCCAAAGATGATACATGAGTTAAGTATCTCAAATGATATTAACAGATTAAGCAGTTTTGGTAGCACTGACACAACAATAACTCACTTTTTAATTTATCCTTGTCATCATAAGAAGCAAAGTTAGAACTGATTCCATAACCCTCAACTTTCCGGAAGGGTTTCCTCCTGTTGCTGTCATGATCAAGTTCCCTCTCGTCTTGATCACGACCATGGTTGTCTCTACCATCTTTCTCAACTCGCTTTTTTTGTTCTTTGTGTGCTTTCATCATCAGTTTCTCATCATCCATTTCAGGCTGCTGAAGACTAAGATTCCTTTCACCATTTGAATTAACAACTTTGTCTCGCCTAAGTTGCTGATAAAAAAAGTTCATAATACCACTGTTAATTCACCAGTTGGAATCCAATATATTTTCCAATCATTGAGTAACCATCCAGCAATCTCAACAGTAAAAATATAGAAATCATTTTCCACTAAAGAACAACTATATATGGCTGTTGAGTATTAACCTTCTCTATGTGCATCGGACGCAAGGTGACAGTGGAAGAGTTATGCTGTGACACTGCGGTTCCAGAATTGTCTGGTAAGAACCTAGTGAACTCGTCAAGCAAATCCGGATGGTCCTTGAAGAGAGCAGCAACCTGTACTTTGAAAAACATTCACTTTCTCAGGGGCATGTGGTGAGCATCACATAGCAAAGCATGTATTCTTGTTCAAAGGACCTACCTCTTTGTAGACCTCATTTATGTCTTTGTGCTCCTTCCGGTAGATTTTAAGGGTATCGAGGAAGGATTTATACACATGTTCATCATTCTGGAACCGTTTCTGTAAGATCCAAATCCATCAGTCATAAATGAAATGTGCAGGCTCTAAAACGAGACTCCCTCCCTATGCAAATCAAAGTAGACTTACATATTCTACCCCAAAAAAAGTAGACTTACATAGCACACACAAATAAAAGGGGGGAAAAGAAATATCATACCTTGATTTTATTAACGAAGTTCATAGCTTCATCAAATTCAACTGTCTTCTTTGGTGGATCATCAAGAGTTATTTCATAACCCTTCGGCAAGAAGGTATTGAAACCATATATTAGGTTGTTATGTCCTTTGAACAACTCTTTGACCCGTGCAATAACACCAGCGGTGTCAGTTCTACAAGAATACAGCAAAAAGCATTAATTTTCAGAGGCAAACATTTATCAACTATACACACCCTACCAATAGTAGGGAACTTACTTCTGAGCCTTGAAATCTTTCATGACCTCAAGGAAAGTCTCATACTTGTCCTGTTTGTCCTGAAACATGTCTTTCACTTCCTTAAGATAGGTCAAGGCATCGTTGGTCGTAAGTTTATGAGAAGCTCCACTAGCAGTGGCAGTAGTACCACCTCCACCTCCACCGCCTCCCTCCATTCTGCCACCACCAGCTCCTCCAGCAGGCCCTACTCCATCACCCACTACGGCTACTCCTGCCCCTCCTCCAACTCCTGGAATTGATGGTTGCGCACACCTTGAAATCGGAAATACGGAAAATTCAGATAAAGCTAAGAAAACACACCAATGATAGCAGTAGAAGACCAAAGGCCCGTCACAACTAGCAACATCAACGCGCACGACCTAAATATCCAGGACAAGTCAAGCTTACACTACTCCAAAGCTAATGATGCGCTCCTCTCAGAAGCACATAGATCAACACATTGATGTAATGAAGCTAATATGTGCTCTAAACCTAACCATATTGTCTTGAGATCAGTAAAATCTCTCCAAGATAGTGGTCACTGAATTCTATATTGAACTCCAGATCATGACCCTGTATAACCCTAAAACAGTCAAATCCGACAAACGAAAGAAATAAAGCTTACAAGATCCCTCAGCTGCAACCAAAGAAAAGATTATCTAAACTCCATCAACAACGACTCACGAACAAACTAGCTAAGTGAAGAAAAAAAGAGCCGCAAAACGTCGATGGTGAAGATTTTAACATAGAAGAACCAAGAACAAACTAATCATATCACCGATCGAGCGAGGTCCCGCAGCAGAAATCACTAAACCAACTAAACAAAGCCAAATACTTAGCTTTGAGGAGAAGCAAAAGAAGCCAGAGAAATGAGCAGGAAGCGGAACATGAAAGAAGAAGGTACTGACGATTCGCGGGAAGAGCCGAAAGGTCGCTTGAATTGCGAGCCGCCGCCGTAGAACTCCTCCCTCACTCTCTTCATCCCTGCGGCGCAATAAACAGAAATCAGAGCAGGAGATGTAACTCATCCGGCACGTGGAAACCAGAGGAAAAGCCATTAGCAAACGAGAAAACGAAAAACTCACTGACTTGAGCGCAGATCTCAGGGGAAAAGAGAGAGGAAGGAAGGTAGAACAAGTTAGCTACTTCGTGCTTTCCCTTTCCTGATTGATCACAGCACCACAGCAGCGCACATGGAGAAGGCGAGCGACCACACGAAGGAGAAGAAGGAACAGGCCTGTGTGTTTATTCTCTTTCGGCGTTACGGCCTCTAGTTTTGTCTGCCAAGTAAGGAAAAAACTGCGAGCAGTTTCAAAATGTATGCGAAGGGAAGAAGAGGTAAAGGGAAAACAGGAGGAAGTTTTGATTTGAGAAGGCGGACGGAAGGGAGAGAGATTTAAGAGGAGGTGGAGAATTTTATGCTATGGTTGCTCTGGCGAATGAATGGAAATAGGAACAACTTACCTAGCAAAAATTTTAGGGCTAATACCATCCGATCAAGTAAGTGTTCTTTGTCTCTCGAACTATTCAATATTTCATTTATGTCCTAACGTATGATAATTGTGTGTCAATTGGAATTCAATTGGAATGCTTCCACAAATATACTAGTTCAATTAATAAATTGGTTAGTTATTGAAAATATTATAAGAAATGTCTTTCCATTTCTTTGAAATTCCACATTGTTCTGTTAGGTTTTGAATCATACCAATACTATATGGAGGTTCTCCATAGAATATCTTTCATTCAAAATTTCCAGCTCTCTGAGTGATTGTAGGAAGGGTAATTTTGGCATACTAAAAGTAAAAAAAATGATAGAATAACTATTTAAAAAAAATCCGCCAGCATCCCCTAGATTATCCTAATAAAATAAGAACTCTATTGAGATTAGGTTTATGTTTCTTGGAATGACCCATCTTTCATTTAATATTAATATATAGTCGAATATATTCCAAAATTTATTAGTAGAATATGTTTTCAAGAAGGACTATTCTTTCATTTTTGGGTTTATACAACATATTAAATATTACAATGTTTCCGAGAGTTTGTATATTAGTTTACAGATGATTTTGTTTGAAGCAATGATTGTGAGACGGTATCAGAAGTTAACCGTAAAAATTAGTGGTAAGGTATTTTGTACTAAAATACAGTTCAACCATTTTGTACGACTAAAATTGCTTAATATTTGGGGTTCAGTATTTTCGGTCCGACCTTCAAGTATAGTACGATTTCTAACACATTGGTTTAAAGTAATCAATCTACTGTTCAACTGCTATAACTTTTCATATGCCCGCTATATATCATAAACATATTCTATTAATTACTAATATATAATATTTACCAAGAATATATAATTTTTCAGAGCGTGTGCTATAATTCGGAATCGATAGATAAAATTTCATGTCAAGGAAAGAACCATGGATGATGTGTCAATTGCCATGAATTCAGATAAACAAAAATTATCCAGAGATGAGACATCTTTGCTAAGAATCCTATGATAGACTGAGTCAATGATCAATAAAAGTTGGTTGAGAGTCACTCCTAATTTTGAGAATCATGAGTTAAGGCATATTTTATAAGATAATGAACTTAACTATTATGTTTGATAAATCGAGGCATAATGTCTTACATCGAAAGTTTACAAACCTCCATATTGGAGATGTCAAGATTAGATAATTGAACGATCAAAATAGTGATTGATGGTTGAGTATTTTGATTGAGAATTGAGTCTATACTCCGTCTATATATGTCTTATAAATCTACATGAAAAGTATACTCATGAGACTGGAAATATTTAATTGTAGGATGTTACAACAAAACAAACCATTTTAGAAATTGAAGATAGTAAGGTACAAAGATAAATTGATTTTACACAAAATAAAATTGTTCAGACCAATGAATAAAAATATTCTCTGCATAGAATCATCAAGTTAGCAAAACAATGATTCAATTCAATCTTTAAACCTTGAACACAAGTACATATATTTATCAGTCTCTATTACATGCACTTTACAGTTTAGTGTGCATTCATATCGAGTGTGGTTCAGGGAAGTGGAAAGTTGTTTTTGTAGTACCAGAATTCATGTTTGACTCTCACTAATCTATACATAAAGTGGGAAATAATCTTTCTAATAGTATGACCATCAATAATAACTCTAATCACTATAATTATTTTGATTATTTGAAATTACAAAATTATTGTTTGCCGTATTTGTCATAAGTTAATTCACATAAGTCAAAGTTGAAGAGAATTGATCAACCATCGACAAAATTACCAAGACAAACCATAAATTTTATATAAGTCGAAAGCGTAAAGAGATTCAACTAAAGCTTTTCGAGCATATGATTCACTAAACTTGCATTTTAAAGTTACATGCATTATTTAAACTATGATTCCGAGCATAATGTATAATTTGGGTACAAGTGATTGTTTGTGAAGGTTATTCCATGGGTAGGACAATAAATGTCAATTTGGCAAATGTTGATGATCCTCTGATCATAATATTTGTATGTTATATATGGTAAAAAAATATCTATTATTATTTTATTTGTGCATCTATTAGCTTTGTTAATTAATTGATAATCAAATTCGCAAATGAAAGCCATTCTCATTTGTAGCTACCTTGCCGTTGTTGAATCTACAAATTTGGGAATTATTGATTTCGCGTCAAAGTGAAATTCATGTAATTTAAATCTATGTATTTTGTCGTGTGTTATAAGTCAGGAGTTTAAAAAAAGGTATTACAATAAATAAAACTTCGATAATAAAAGTGATGCATATGCACCACATCCTCTAATGGGAGTCAAAGTCGAATCCCAACCATCGATCAATACCAAAATATTGCAAGAGCTCAACGAATTGGAGTGAGGAATAGAGATGAGGTATATATATCAATTGCAATTTACTGTCTCATTAACAATAAAGTGCTAACCTTTTTCAAAATAGGAACGAGTGATGTTATGTTTAATGCGAACACTGTCCATGAAAAGGTGAAGAAGACTTCGATGAGTACATTTGTGGGAATTGTACGACAACATCGGGTATGATTTCTAGACAAAACCTCTACATGATCCTTTGTGTTTAGTTTTTTTTAATTTCATTCTTATGTATACGAATCGATTAGGATGTCGAAAAACTCTATATATGTGTTTATTTTTCTATGTTGTCACTAACTGAATGATTTAGATTCTTTTATCATGCCAAATAAAAGTGCATATTTGCTTTGAACATTTGCTATTTTTTTATGTAGTTAATTGAATGTACCCGTCCAACGGGCGGGCCCTAATCTAGTTTCTATTTATATTTGATTCTTCAAGTAAGCATTACCACTCCAAATTTTGACATCCCCTTCAAATACAACTCAAATAGGTAGATACATATATGTTATAACCCCTTCAGATACGTTCAATCCTCATATTGGAAATTTGGGATGCAAAAAATATTTTATTTGCCTCATTAGTCATTAAATCGTGTCCAATTCCAAAATTTCTCACACAATACAATGGCTTAGTAGAGTGAATCACAGTACTATAATACAATTTGACAAATATCAGTTAATTCCTATATGTATCAAATAAATTCTTTGATACAACTACTCACCACTATCATAATTTGATCAAAAAACCATTTCATAATTATAATGGTTAAGAAAAAGGTTATCTTCTTTCCGAACAATAAATTGGAAACCATAAAAGAGGTTTTGATAGTATTAACAAAGATGTGAAAGAAAAAGAAAAATAAACACAACAGAAAAGTAACAAACAAGTCATTGTATATTTGTATTAAACTACAATGGCCGAGATCCTTTGAAGATTAACCAAGGAGAAAAGTAACAAGCAAGCCATTGTATATTTGTATTAAGCTACATCAACCGAGATCCGTTGAAGATTAACCAAGGAGTAATAAGCTCCGGCGGGTCCTTTTGCCAACAGAGACGAGTGGGTCCCGCTCTCTATGACCACCCCTTTCTCCAAAACCACGATGGAATCACAGTTTTGTATTGTACTCAACCTGTGGGCCACCACCACGATCGTCCTCCCGACCATCACCCTCTCCACCGCTGCCTGCACTGCCTTCTCCGACCACCCGTCCAGGGCGCTCGTCGCCTCATCTAGCAGAAGAATCTTTGGGTTCCTCAGCACCGCGCGGGCCATCGCGATCCGCTGCTTCTGCCCTCCCGACAATTGGATGCCTTTGTCGCCGCACCACGTGTCGTAACCATCATTCAGGCCCGAGATGAAATCGTGTGCCTTGGCAGCCTTCGCTGCCGCAATCACCTCTGACTCGCCGATCTCGTCCTGGACCGAGCCATAGGTGATGTTGTCCTTGATCGTGGCAGCGAATAGAACAGGCTCCTGGCTTACTAGCCCGATCTGCTTCCTCAGGGATCGGAGGTTATACGTCCTCACATCCCGACCGTCGATTCTCACTGTTCCTCGTTGGGGGTCATAGAACCGTTCAATCAAACTGATGATAGTTGATTTCCCGGACCCGCTTTGTCCCACCAGCGCTGTCGATTTCCCAGCTTCTATTTTCATCGTGAACCCTTGGAACACAATCATGTTGGGTCGGGTTGGGTAAGCAAAATCCACGTCTTGAAACTCAATTAAGCCCATTATCCTTTCAGGCTTGTAACCTTTTGGGTCCTCTGGCTCAATTCTCGTTTGTCGGTCCAATGTGTCAAACACAGACCGAATAGTTTCCGACCCCTTGGCAAGGTCCGTGATCATGGCTCCAGCGTTGGCAATCACCGGACCGGTGTTGATCAGAATTAAGAATGTCTCAAACACGGCTTTAACTGAGATCTCTCGCTGAGAGACGAGTTTCCCGCCATACCACAAATCTAGAGCAGTGGTCAACAACATGAGGCATTGTGAAGTGGAGAGACCTAGACCGGCGTACCAAGACTGTTTAATGAACTCTCGTCGTGGGGATTCTTGGGCTTTGTCGAGCATTGAGAGGATCCGGGCTTGAGAAGAGAATGCGGTGATGGTTCTGAGGTTGGAGACTGCTTCGGCTGCGAGCTTGCTGGTCTCGTTATGGGCTTTGACGGCTCGTTGAGACATGGACTTGATCAGGATGTGCCGGGTGTAGAAGCAGATGATGAAAATGGGTTGAACTGCGATCATTATGATGGCGAGCTTGGGAGCAATCATGAGCCCCATCGTCCATGCCACAATTACTGATGAAAGTGTTTGTACAAGGAGGCTCATACGATCGCCAACAACGGTTCTCACCTGCAATCCCAAGTAGCATAATGGACAATGTTCATTTGTTAGATAGCACTTGAAAATTTGGTAAGGAAAAAATGCAAAAGCTAGAAATGTTACTCACCACATTGGCATCTTTGGAAAGTCTAGAGTAGACTGCACCACTCGAATTCTCATCCTTGTCAAACCAACCAACCTCGAAAGTGAGAATCTTTGACAGCATCCTCTCGCGAACCCTTTTTGTCAACTTCTCGCCCATGTAGCCGAAATTGTAATGTTGAACAACGTTAACTATCAGAGAAGCAAATGCCAATCCCAGAAAAGAGAGCGAATATATCATAGTCTTCTCCTTAATCTGATTGTGGTCTTTGAAGAAATACACTGATATCATCGACCCCATGGCAAAGGAATATGTGGGTTGGACTCCTCCAAACAGTATCGCGCCTATACATCCCATAAATGCTTGCTTCCATTCTGGTAAGTTCAACGCAATCAACCTAAAAAAAGAAGGGTTTGGAACTTTTTGGGCCTCAGATGAGCCAGAGAGTGGCATATTTTCTGCCATGGCAGCACTCGATGAGGCCCCTAGAGATAACATGCGACTACTGGTGTTATTGATGACAGGAATTGGAGCGAGAGACAAGGACGAAGGAGCTTCATTCTGGTTGTCTTCTTTTTTATCTAATTGTAGAGTACGAACAAGGAAAGCATACGAGCCATCTTGGTGTTCCATTAACTCGTCATGAGTTCCTGTTTCGATAATGTGGCCATTTTGGATCACGGCAATGATGTCCGCATTTCGTATGGTGGAGATACGGTGGGCAATGATGATGGTGGTACGACCATAAGAAGCTTTGTCGAGAGCTTCTTGGACAAATTTTTCAGATTCTGAGTCTAATGCACATGTAGCTTCATCAAGTAGCATGATCTTTGGTGATCTTATGATTGCTCTAGCTATTGCAATTCTTTGCTTTTGTCCTCCTGACATTTGTACCCCTCTCTCCCCAACCTGAAGCGTCAAAGTGGAGAGACAATGAGAGAATGACATAAGACAAATAAAGTTACACTATTTGATAAATGAAGATTACTAATCAGTTATAACTAGATTAGAGTCCAAATCTACTACAAGGAAAGTCAAGATAAGAAAAGTAGGTAAATGTTGAGAGAATTGACACAAAATATGTAGAGAATGGGGTAGAGGGAAGTTCTTCGCCCCATCTCATGCTACTTGAGGGTCTTTTAATAACTGGGACAAATCATAATAGGTTGGATTGAGCGGTTTAGGTCACACGTTATCATCCGAAGATTACTGATAATCTATTAGTCAAGTAGGTACTAGGCTAAGAGAAAGAGAAAAGATATAGTTGTATCAGCTATTACGACAAAGCATGTGACTTAATTAAGTTACATAGGGACATTTGGGAGAAACAAAAATGCATCATGATACTAGAAGAAGTGTACTTTTAGACACAAGACACCGAATGAAATATGCACAATATAAATGCATATAAAGAAATAATGAGTTGTTTGGTATCATCGTAATGAAAAGAACTGTTTGGTATCATCGTATATGTAATAACAAAGTAGTCAAATCTCGATTTAAATGCTAAAATCTTACGATTTTACAATTTTATCAACCTGTTTCGATCCTACTTTCTCTACAAAATGTATGGACCTTAAAATCCTACCTATTACGGTTTAAATCCTTAAAATCTTTAAAATCTTACAATTTTGAAGGATTTTAATGATTTTAAGATCCATGTTGAATTGATTGAATTTGGACCAATCAAACCTAGTTAAAGAGGTATGGTCAAATCTTTGGGTCACTTAAAGCCTTTTTCCTTCTCCTCTATCAACAACATATAGTTTTCTCTCACTACTAATTTAAAGAACCATTTGCTACCATGTAAGAAAACACCTAAAGCTATCCTATTCAAGATGAATAAAATGTTAAAATTGATCTATAATGAAGAAAATACTAGGACATCACACACAAGAACTAATAAACACATAATAATTTATATTTAAAAGTACTTGTAAGTGATGAACTTCCTGTAACGACTTTGTGATTGTGAGTACTATTCTGTAAGTTTATATGCAAGTTAGTTGGGCTACATTTGTGTTGAATAGGAACAATAATCTTGATAAATTATCATTTTACGTGTTATATGCCTTTGTGTTATTAATGATTAACCTTATTAATATTATTCGGTATTTTTTTATCTTAAAATCCTATGACTTTATGATTCCGATATTGCCCAAGTTTTCGATTTTACGTAAAATCTTAATTTCGACTGCTTTGTGCAAGAGCATGTAGGATCTTTGTATTATATTGAATAATGATATATGAAGCATGATAAAAAGAATGAACAAGCTTACCTGGGTATCATAACCCTGAGGGAATTGGCTGATGAAATTGTGAGCATTGGAAGATTTGGCAGCTTGAACAATCTCTTTAACTGAACCATCTTCCTTCCCGAAAAGTATGTTTTCTTTGATAGATGTAGCAAATAGGATAGGCTCTTGGCTTACCAAACCCATCTGTGATCTTAGCCACTTTAGTTGCAATTTATCAATGGCAACATTATCAAGAAGTATTTCACCGCGAAGCGGATCGTAAAACCTTTGCAATAGAGCTATTAAGGTTGATTTCCCAGATCCACTACTACCCACCAAGGCCACAGTTTTGGCAGAAGGAATATGCAGAGAGAAATCTTTGAAAACTATGTTGTCCGGTCTAGATGGGTAGGCGAATTCAACATGCCTGAATTCGACTTCACCTTTGACATTTTCCAAGGATCCACCTTCAGTATTATCTATGTCAATCTTGGACACTCGTCTTATGATTTCAGTCATTCGCTCTCCTGCTGACCATGCCTCTGAGAAATACTTCAGGTTGGATAAACTGGAACCAAGCGCTCTTACAAAAGGAAGAAATAAGACCATCAATAAGAAGGGTACACATTTAAAGGGATCTAATATTGAAGAAACATATAATTGAAAGAGGTCGAATAAAGTTTGAGGTTACATACAATCCTCCAACAACCACAAGGGTGCTGACAGAGAAAACAGTGCCACCTTTGGAGCCATGGTACATGACCATTCTGCTTCCGTAGTATACCATGAAAGACCAAATGGCGAAAACAACACCGTTACTGCCAAAAGCCAGACCCTTAGCCAGTCCCTGCTTCAAACCCAGTACCACCGAGAATTCAAGAGTTGTGGAATATGCAACATTGGTTTTGGTCTCGCCAACAAATGCATACACAGTCCTGATGGAAGATATTGCCTGCTCAGTTATATTTCCTGCTTTTTTGTACTCTTCCGCTATCCCTCTTGCCAACACCATTAAAGTTCTTCCATACAATATACCAGGAACCACCAATAAAATCACAAATGGAAGCCCAACAATTGCGAGCCTCCATTGCAATATCAAACCGATTATAAAGCACCCCAAGAACATGGCCAAGTTCATTAAAAAGAAGGGAAGCTGGTACAATAGTTAATCCGAGGTTAGCATGCTAAATAAAATGATTATAAGAGAAAAGTGGGTGGATGGAAGATTGTGTAGATGACCTTTTCACTTATGACATCTTGAATAGCCAGACAATCGTTTGAGACAGTTGTGATGATCTCTGAGGGACTTGTCACATGCAAATCAAAATAGCTTACTTCTTGCCTTAGCACTGCTCCTAAATAACTAGCTCTGATCTTTGCAGCTTGTCTCGCACTGGTCCTTGTCCAACAATATCCTTCTAATAGTGCCAAGAAAAAGAAGAAATAAAATGGTTAGGCCTGCTCTCATCAATATGTTGATTGGACATACACAAAAGCGCTCCACAATACTTTAATTAAAACTACCTAGGAAACAGAGGAGTCCCTGTGCACAAGCCACATAGCAAAGCGCCAGTGCATTCTGTCATTCGCGAATTCAAAACCTCTTAGAACGGAATCACCAAAATTGACAAGGAATGAAAACTAAGAAGAGAGAGAACATACCATGTTAATGTTATGAATGATGACATCTGCAGAATTGGTGGGTGCATCACCAATATGGTTCAACAGCTTGCTACTAATGAACAACATGACTGGGGTGGAGATCCCATCACCAATCGATCCAATAAGCCCCACAACCATCAACAACCAATCTACTTTATCCGCATGAATCAAAATCGATCTGAGTGATCCAATGCCACTCGTCTTCTTCTTCTTTACTACATCACCCTTATTTTCTTCAGCACCCATTTTTCAAGTATTCAAAAAAGCTTCTCCTTTTCTTTCTTCTTACTCTTTGATTGAGGTCTGTCCCTTATATACCAAGCACCAAATAAAACTACAAATGCTTAGATAACCAGGAAAACCTCAAAGGAAGGCTGATTTTGTCAAGTTATCATATGCAAATCATAGAGTTGAGTGAGGTCAATGAAGCTTGCTTCCGTTCAATGGCAATGATCAAATATTCCTAAATAACTAAAGTATCTAACCCCAAGCAAAGAAGAATCATGCTTGGTTGGATTTTCACTCTCCCTCTCCTTCGCATGACATCATTTGGGAATGATCATGACTAATTTATCAACTGCAAGCAAAATGAGCATTCTTTTAATGAATTTCATCTATTGACAGAGACTTCATCTTTGAAATATTATTAATTAGTTGATTTGTTGCAAGTACATTAACTATGTATAACATAATTTTGCCTTGATCCCCTCCCATATTGTTTTTCTTCAATAACGAGAGCATTGCTAAAACCAAGTTCTATTCTTTTAATTAAAATTCTAATCTTGTTATTACTCGTGCCCCACAATGCCCTAAAAATGAACCTACTAAAATCTATAATTTTTTAAGGTTTGGATGTATTTTTATTTGAGGGTTCATTTCGTATTTAATTATAGGATTCCATAAAGTTAGAGTTAGATGGTTTTTAAAGTAAAGAAAAGTTGTTAGTTGGACTCGAAACTATTGGTTGCCCATGCACCCAATTATACGGGATCAAAGTCTGATAATTCAATATTTTCAGATGATTTTTTGTAAACAAGGAATCTAACGTTCTACTAATGTGTGTTCTAAGGTTTTGGTATTGAGCTTTATGAAAGAATTTTGATATTTTAATTGTGTATTTGAGTAATCGATCATTTTAAATGAGTTTCATAAGAAGAGGCTATTACAGTGATATTTAATTCTTTTCTTATTTATTAATATCATCGCCATTATGGGTGAAAATTTTAGTTAAGAGTATTAGGTCAAGATTTCGACACTTCTGTAAAATGAAATTCTTGATTTAGTTCGCAAGGGGAGGTTGAATGGCAAAAGGTAATTTCAAGGAGATCAAGAGGCATTTTAGTCATTTTCACAGGTAAGGTATATCAACCTTGTTAACAACCAAACAAACCGTAATCCATTCCCCACCTCTTAGTTTCGATCTCGAACAACCCCAGCAAACACGAAACCCTAATGTTTGACAACAAGGGGGTGCAAATTCGAGGGAGTACAAGTTGAAGGGTAAATTGCAGGAGGGTGCAAGTTGAAGGAGGATGCAAGTGGAAGGGTAAATTGTTGTTTGGATGAAAAAGTAGGGGAGTGCAAATAGAATGAGAAGTGAGTAATTATATTATTACAAGATAGATTTATCAAAAGTTATAAATTATTATCACAAAATAATAAAATAAATAATAATAAATATAATTTAATAAAATATTTATTATATAATAATGCTCAAATAATAATTAATTATAACAACTTTAATAATCATTGATCGAGCTATCTCGAAGCTCGGAGCCCAACTTGTAACTTGTCATACTACATGGTTCTCGTGTATAATTTAACTTTAATTTGAATATGGTCAAACTTAGTCAAACACGTTCTATTATGTAATTTTGAACTATATGATCAACTAAACTGAGTCAACCAAACTGTTCCTCACTACCTTTTCCATAAGCACTTCTTATCTCTAATTTTCAACGCAAATTCGAGTCAACCAAGAGATTTTGATTTGACTAGACGAACATTGATAAACTTGCTCTCGGAGTCAAATAGTCAACCCCGAACATATCTACATAAAAAAAGAAATTATTAATTTTAATTAAAATTTTATTAGAAAAATAATTTCCCTCCTCTCTCCCTCCCCCTCCCCCTCCCCCTCCTTCCTTCCTTCCTTCCTTCCCTTGCACAGTTGCACCTCAATTCAAAGGTAAGGCGGAATAGTAATTCTGCAACCCATACTGTTACAAATCATCCAAACGGGTGCAAATGTGTTGAAAACTATGTTTATCCCTCTCATTTGCACCCTTCTCACATTTTACAACATTTCAATCTTGTCCCTTGAATCAATTCACCTTGCCCTTTGAATCCTTTGGATTCTTCTTATACTCCATTAGCAACTACATTTCATCTCCCTCAAACACTCGACATGCCTCTCTCTCCCTTACTCGATCTGACTTCTCCACTCTTTCGTCCTGGAAACGACGACTGGAAAGAAAGAAGAAAAAAAGACGACGGCAACGGGGTAGTCGCCGATTGTGATGACGGCGGCATCCCCGGTTCCGGCGAAGACGATGACGAAAAGGATACCTTTTTGGTAAGATTTTTAACGACTTTTTTTTTCTTTTGGTTTTCAGATTCATTTTTTGATTTGTTGTTGTCCTTGCGAATTTTTTTATATTTTTATGGAAGACTTGGATCGATTATTAAGTCATGGACTAAAAATTACAATCAGAATGAAGGATTGGTGGTCTAGAGATCCAATTTTCCTCCTCCTTCTAATTACAGAGAGTGTGAGCTAGCTAGGTGATATTTCATGAAACTCTCTTCTGATTTTAGATATAAGAAACTGAGATTTGATTTTGATTTCTTGTTATTCCGAGTGTTTGAGGTTTGGTGGGGATGATTTCAGCGGCGGCAATTTGTGGGATTTGGGAAATTAGTGAATTCGTTTTTATTTTATTTTATACGCATGATGATATGGCATTTTCATCCAAGTTCTAGAAAATAAAGAAATTGTAAAATGGCATTAGTTAAACAAGATAATACTTAATATGTAGCTTATTGAAATAGTGAACTAGGAAACTTAACTAAAAGTATAAAAAGTTCGTAGAAAATGAGATTATCCTGTGTAGAAAGTAAGCATATACATTTTTTTTTTGGTAAAAACTGGGCGCTAAGGGCGCCCAAACCTTTATTACGTACTAACAAAACGGGGGGTTTCAATTCCCACCCGGTCAAAAACAGCCAGTACAACAAAGAAGTGCACGGTCTATTCATTACATGAACTCCTACCGAATTCGAGTGCCCTATAGAGGCAAGGTGATCCGCAGCAAAGTTAGCAGTAAGCATATACATTAGACAATAGCTTAGGAAAATATAAAGTGCTTAATTTGAAGAGAGATTAAAGGAAATGTAAATGATTCTATTGGCTGATGGTAATAGTAAATTGCTTGAATGAAAATGACAGCAAGTTAGCTAACGGTGTTTAAAGTGCTTGAATGAAAGAGGAACTGATTAAGTAAATCGATAATGACAAGTAGATGAAAGTATTCATCTTGTAATTTAATTGGGATTGATTGAATCTGATATTTTAAGGGTTTTTTAAGTCAGATTGTAGTTTGCTTGGAGTAAAAACTTTACTTTGCATAGGTAGGAGAAGTTAGATGAATATGAATGATGATGAAAATAAAAGGGTAAATGACACATTTGGTCACTGAGATTATCAAATCGTGTCATGTTTAGTCACTAGAAAATTTTAATATCAATTTTGGTCACTCGGATTAGTGAAACAAGTCACATTCAGTCACTCTCCCGTTAGTTTCCCTCCAGCTTCATTAATGGAGTTGGACGGAAACCAACGGGAGAGTGACTAAATGTGACCTGATTTAGTAATTCGAGTGTCCAAATGTGACATGTTTCAGTAATTCGAGTGACAAGAATTGGACGGAGGCTAACGAGAGAGTGACTAAATGTGACATATTTCAGTAATTCGAGTGACCAAAATTGATATTAAATGTTTCTAGTGACTAAATATGGCACGATTTAGTAATCTCAGTGACCAAATGTGACCTTTACCCGAAAATAAAAGGAAGGATTCAGTTTCTGCAACCAACCTTGAGTCTGAAGTTTGAGGAAGGGTTGGAGCTGCTTTCCTCCTTTCTGTGGGTATTTCTGCTGCTCTTGTGTTTTTGCTTTGGTGTGCTAGCTGCTGTTTTTGTTTGCGATTTTTGTGTTCCTTTGGTGTGTTTTGGAGAGGCAGAAGCGGAAGAGAGTTTTTTTTTAGAGCTGCCCCCTTCTTTCTCTTTCACTGTTCTTTTTGGATTCTGTTGGCGTCTGTAATTTTGAGGAGGAGGAGGAGGAGGAGGAGGAGGAGGAGGAGAAGGAGTTGGTGAATGATTTTTTCCTTTGTTGTTGATTCTGCCCCCGAGAGCTGAAGAAAACCTCCTTCTTTATAGCCCAAAAAGTGCTATTGTTCATGTTTGTTGGCACAATATAATTGGCTTTTTGAGGCTGTTGGCTGTACCAAGAAAAGCTTATATATATATTTGTGACGATGGTATTAGTCCGACTCAATAAAATACCAAACAAATCAAATTTTTTTGCATTTTACATTGTATTCTCACTTATGAGTTACAAGCAAAATATTGTGACAGTGTGCTACAGTTCATTGTTATGATATTATCCATAAACCAACGCATATCATAGTATTTTACAAAATCATCACCGTTGTCCCGCAGTAGTGCCTGTCCAAACCCCGAGTGCAATAGAAGCAATCTGCATTTGTAAACAATCTCGCGTGCTATGCTAGCGAACGATGAGGGGAATCAATGGAGTATTGTAAGTATTGGCTTATTTAGATGGAAAACCCTATAAGTACATCCATGTTATCATGCATGAGACTCATGCAGTGGCAGATTCATAAAACTCTTTAAGAGTTTTTAAATAGTCTCGAATTCAAATACTAGCATCACTAGAATAAAAGTTTACACAAGTTTTCTTTCCAATATTTTTGATTTAAGGATTTCCAATTGATAATTCATTCATGCACTTAGGTCCACCGGTGGATTCATGTGTTAGACACCATAGCAATTTCGAAGATAATGTTATAATATTTGTGGATTTCGTGATATCAGCTAGCTAGTGTATACATATAATTTCTATCAACAGGATATTGAATTGGACGACCTTCAGTTGCTGTATCTATATGATCACAAATTTGAAAATAACATCACACATACTAATCCACAGACTAATGTCCAAAAAGAAACCCCGATGATATCAATTCATGCATTTAGCACTGTCGATCGACATAGTAGTAACCAAGTCC